AATTCAGCTATGCAACTCTCCAAACTATAATCCAATTTCAACTCATTTTTAATTAAATTGATAGTTGCAATCTGTAAAGGTAGAGATCTAATTGAATCAACATCAAAATTCAATCCTAAATCTTGAATAATCATTTCTGAATCAATTAGATAAAGTTGAATGTTATGTTTAGCAGCCTCATATCTAAAATCATTAGGTAATTTAGTTTCCAATTCATCAACTGTAAACTTTGTATTTAATAGTACAACACCACCATTTTTAATAAAGCTTAAAATATTATATTTGCTAGTTAGGCTAAAATCATTTATGAAAATGTAGTCAATGTCATTTTCTTCAGTAGCATAAATTCCATCAACAGGACTATCAGCACTGAATCGTAATTCTGATTTAATGACACCACCATTGTTATAGATATCATATGTAGATAAATTAGAAATATTTAGATTTGAATGATTTGCAAGTATGTTGGCTATGTGTTTGTTAACTGTGATGGTTTCTTGTGACTCAGAATCCCAAAATATACATCGATTTACACCTTTTGAAATTGAGGAAATGCTTATTTTTTCAGATACAAATTCATTAACATCAACAAAATCTTTCTTTCCCAATTGATTAAATAAAAATCCAATATTTTCTGAAGAAAGGGTATCAAATGATGAAAATTTAACATTCACCAAAGCTGGTAGATTATTAGTCCAAAGCCCAGAATTAAAAGATGCTACAACATCATTAAATAAACCATAATAACTAGCAGCATTGTCATGATTGTTGACCTGTTCCATTACACCAATCTGTTTCACCGTTTTTGGAATTTTTTCCAAGAATTTTCTTTCTGACCAAGGTCTGTATAATCTAACTACCACTGCACCAGATTTATACCCATCAATGCTTGACACAAAATTTTTAACAGCATTTATCTCACTACCAAGAACAATCAAAATTTTTTCAGCATCTTCAGAACCAAAATATTCAAAAGCATGATATTCATTTTGATTAGCTGATTTTTTACTAACTTTATTTGCAATCATTTCAATTATATTAACCTTATCATCATCATTATTCTCATCAAAAGATTTCAAGTTCTCTGTCATATTT